CTTGGCCTGATGTACCCCAGGGTTCAGTTGGCCACTTGGGCTCCCAGGACATACTGCTGGCTCAGATTCCACTTACTGCTACTGCTCTTTCTTTGATCAGCAGATACAAGTCCAGTGGTTACCAACCAAAAACTTCTAGGAAAGCCATTTTTTTTACCCTCTTTCACTGTTTTCTTTTATGATAAGCTTTCTTGAGCATCTTAGCAACTTTTGCCCATGTGGAAAGGTGATGAAGGAGAATCCCTTTCAGACTCTCTGGCAGCCTTGATCTGGGCAGTCAGTGTAACATAAGAAAGAAGCAGATGTCACTCCACATCTCAGACTGATATACTCTTATATTCTCTTATTCTCTTATAATTACCCAACTGTTTGCAAACCTTTCCTGTACGATTTATTCTTCTGGCTCAAGTATACTCTTAGATACCTTGCATCTCCTCTCATGGTTTCTTATCATGTAAGTGTTTCCAAGTGTCATCCAGGCTTTTCCCTCAGGTTCCCTTTCTTTGTCACTGCTGCATGGATCTCTAAAGGCCCTTTTGAGGCTGCCATCACTTGTTACCTGAGAAACCTTTCGTGAGCAGCTGCTGATGGGTCCTTTCTTCAAGTTAAAGGAAACACAAAAACCTGTTACTCCACTTGCTGCTGGATTTCTGGGAGCATCTAGAAACCATGACAGATGCATAGGACTGCACTTGGCCCACCTTAAATATGAAGTATATCTTGCTAAGGGCCATGACCTGAAGCATTAAGAGCTCGAGTCAATTCTGCTTTGTACAGATGTTGAAGAGTGAGCATTAGCAGTAGCTACTTTAGAGGATCTGCACCAAGATATGCTTTTCTTAGTTGATCTTGGAGTGGCTGACAGTGATGGTGCAAGGGTCATTTGGTAACAGCAACACAGTACAAAGCAGTGCTAGATATAGGAGTAAATCTGGGCCACTGTTTCTTTCAAGACTAAACCCATAAAGTATTAAGCCTTTGGTTCTGATGTGGCTTAATCCAGCAGGGAGCTCAGCCCCACGCAACAATTTGCTCACTGCCCTGTAGTGGGGTGGAAGAGAACATGCGAAAAAATGGAAGAACTCAAGACTTGACATAAAGACAGATTAGTAGAAGGAAAAATAATAACAACAACAAACAAACACAGAACAAATGATGCAAATGCAATTACTCACCAGCCACTGACATGATGCTCAGCCAGTCCTTGAGGAGGGGCTGCACCTTCAGACAACTCTCCCAGTTTTTTGCTCAACATGAACAATATGGGATAGGATAGGACTTCTCTTTGGCCTATTTGAGTCAGCTGTCCTGCTTCTGTCCTTTCCCACCTCCTTGTGCATCCCCAGTCTACTTAGTGGCAGGGCAGTATGGGAAGCTAAAAAATTGTTGACTCATTGTAAGTACTGCTCAGAAACAACTAAAACATCAACGTATTATTAACATTCTCATCCTAAATCCAACATACCAGCCATTATGGAGAAAAAGGCTCTGTATGGGCCAAAACCAAGACAGGTACTGATGTTCTTGCTGAAGATGAAACAAACAGAACATCTACAAGATTAGGGAGACAGAATCTTGGGGAAAAAAAACAACAACACCTTTGTTCTTTAAAAATAAGATTAACAGCTATCGTGCTTTGGAATCAGCAAGATGGTTATGTTTTATAAAACAGTTTACAGACTCGTCTCTATATTTTTTCCTCTTAATCCACATCCATTTTACTGTTATTTGATGCATTTTAGAGCAAGACTGTCATTCACAATGACACCAAAATATTCTGTCAAAGCTCCTAGCATAATCTGATTCAAAATCTTGTAAGGTTTGTTTGTTCAGAAGCTTCAGTTCTCAGTTTTGAGTATACTCAATTAAGAGTAAATGTAATCATTGTACTAAGCTAAATAAGAAAATTAGCATTTGTCATTGATACTCACAAATCATGGCTATTCTGTGGTGCATCTAAACAGATCTGCAAGATAATTTCTGTGTCTACAAAGTCACTTTCTTCTAAACATAGCATTTGCTAAAAAATGATTTTCCATCTTAAAGTGCATTTAATTGTAGTAGGCTTATGAAAAGCTTTCTAAAATCATCTCATATCAATACGTCTGCTAATATTGTGGATCTTATTAGATGGAGAAGAAATCAAAATGCAGCTGTTAATATTAAGAAGTATAGAAGCCTTACCCAGCACTGTGGCTTATTAAAGATTATTACTTATGCACTTGGTAGTGATTTTTTCCATGAAAGAAAAGAGATTTAATAATATTGATGTCAACTGAAGAAATAGGAAAGAGTCTTTTGCTGTGTATAAAGTGGTTTTTCATCTTGTTGCAGCCAAAGTTGGTTTCCCCTACATCCAATTTCTGATGCAGGCAAAGTGAAAAGAGGGAGAGTGCTCTCCTGAAATGCTGGGAGGAAGGTGACGAAGTGGCTCAAGAGATCTCTTTCTCACTTCAAGAGATCTCAGTTTCTTTCTGTCCTTCAAGTTATTGTATACCAATCAGTAATTAGATTTATGTATTTTTTTCTGCAGTATTTGTAAATCTTGCAAATGACATTTTTTTCCATCGGAAGACACCTCAAGATGTATTTTTCAATGTGCATTTCAGAGTTACAGAGGAACTCTTGCTAAAAGTGTGTTTAAAAAATTTAGCAATCAAATCCGAGCTTATTTGGCTCACTCTTTGATGCAATCCAGGTAGATGTAATAAACACAATACAGTACACAAAATATCAAATCCTACTAACGAGCAGAGCTTTGATTTAGCACTACCCTGTGCAGCTTCTTGGCAACCCTGAGATGGACCAGTGTGGGTTTATGTGTGCTGCAGTATGCCACAGGAATATGGAAGCTCCAACTCTGCAAAGATCTTGAATGTGGAAAAGAGTAAGGGAGCTAATTAGATAATAGCTAAATGATCTATTCATTTCAGTAAAGATAGGTCATAATTATCTTAATTTATTTCATAGAGAAAACTAATTACTTTTAATTGAGTAAGGACAAATTACAATGGCTTTTTTAATGAGTAAGTCCTACTTATTTCTGCCCAGAGACTCAAACATTGTTTTACGGAAGAATAATCTTTTGCTTTTGGCAGAAACTCTTATAGAAAAGCATGTGAAAAGGTTTGTTTTCATTTTTTTTAATACTACCTCAAAAAACTTTCTTTGGGGGATTTGAAAATTTATTACATAAAAATATGGCTTTTTGTGAAGCATTCAAGAAATTAATTGACATGAAACAATTGCAGTTGCCCAGATAGCATAAAAATGGAAGTGAGTTACAATAAGAGAGTTTAGGAACAGAAACCTGACACTACAAGTGAAATTGCTGAAGTTCTTTAAATAATCCTTTCAAGTCTGCTTTCATAAATTCAGAAAATGCTGTATACTTAGTACCTCAGGCTTTTTTTTTCAGTTTTTCCCTTCATAAAGGAAAGATTTCTCACAGAAGGAGAGGAAACACTCTGCCTTTTAATAATGATGGTCTAGGGAGAGAATTGAAGTTGCCACTTTTTGTCTATTATCTGAATTACTGCTGAACAAATAATAATGAACAGCGGATACGTTTTTTTCTAGATTAGTACTTCCATTAGCCACTGTCCTCAAACTCCCTATTAATTTCATAGTCATGAATAATAGCAGTCTGGAGCAATTTCTGTTTGGAAATATCCTTACCTTATACTTGTTGGAAATTCATGATAATGTCCGAATAACAGTCTGTCTGTTTCTCATACCATAATAGACCTTTCCTTTTTGCGTGGATGTCATTGTTAGGATTTTTAAAATCTAAATATTTAAAGATATCTGATGAAAATTATTTTCTGCAAATTGCAAGCAGTCACTGGTTTGCTTTTCCTTTGCTTCCCTGCCTTTCACTTTATGCTCTCAGTCTAACTTCTACTTTATCTGCTTGTTAAACCATCCCCAGCATTGACATTTCACCTTTTTCTCTGCAGCAGGCTATAAGCCTTTCTTTATCTCTGAGCTTAGCAATACCAGCAAAGAAAACATTTTTTCATACCCAACGTATTACATCTTAGTTGTATTTTATAATATTGTCTAGTATTCATTCTAATCCATTAATTAAGCCTAGAATCTATTTTGAAAATAGATTCTGATTATAAGATGTCTTTTAAAGTAATAATTAATATTCTGAATATCCTGAACTGTGTCATTTTATTCATTACTTTTACTCATAAATAAATGACCAAACGACTTTCTTTTTATAAAGCCATGGTGGTTCATGTTTTCCACATAGCAGACACCCAGGTGTAAAAAGTCTAAAACGAAAAAACATGAAACCAAGTCATAAAAATAGTGAAGGTTTGAATTCATGAGCTTGAAAACCAAGTTTGTAGTTGGTGATGTAACAGTGGAGATTGTATGAAAGGTATGCAGAGAGAAGGATCAGCTTTATTCAGCAACACAGAATTTATTCTGTAGTTGAGATTCAAGTGGTCTTAATAGGCTTAATAAAAGCTTCTTTGAATGATAGAATAAGAATATATTAATGTATGTTGAAACATAAAGGGCAAGATCTCTTAAAGATGATGTGTGGAATGGTCTGTAATCATAATAATTATCATGGAGTACTTTAAAAGAACTACTAGCTAAAGTGGTAAAATTATCTGAAAAGCATGCAAGGTGATAATATGTTACTTATTTTCCTGGAGATCAGTTCTGACATAAACCATCTGTACAAATTTATGAATATTTTTGTCTTTAAGCCTTATATGTTGTCACAAAGAGCACTAGTTTTCTTTATATGTCTGTATCGTTGATGGAGGATTTATTGCCTGTATATATAGTTATAAAAGATTCATGAAAACATTTTTAAAATGCCACGTGAATCAAAACTTCTATTATGTTCTAACTGGATTAAGATGGAGTAGCTTTTAAAAAGTACTAATAATTTAATTATCAATAAATATTTTTATATTAACAAAGCATACACAAACTTTCATTGCATCAATATTTCTGCTTTCTTTTTCCCCCAGGACACAACATAGAACTATGATAGCAACCGGAGGAGTCATAACAGGACTGGCTGCCTTGAAAAGGCAAGACTCTGCCAGATCTCAGCAGCATGTAAATCTTGCCGCAGCACCAGCCTGTGAGGAAAAGAAACCAGTCAGACGGCGACCCAGGGCAGATGTAGTCATTGTCAGAGGCAAAATTCGACTTTATTCTCCATCAGGATTCTTCCTTGTTTTGGGAGTGCTTATTGCATTCTTGGGAATTGCAATGGCTGTCCTCGGATACTGGCCCCAAAAGGAACAGCTTTTGGCATCTGAAGATAGTGTATCAGTTAATGAAACCCAGCTCCTAAGAAACCAAGGAAGCATTTTACTTCGTTTCTTTGAGCAGCATGTACACTCAGATAAGATGAAAATGTTGGGCCCTTTTACCATGGGTATTGGAATCTTCATTTTTATTTGTGCAAATGCCATTCTACATGAAAACCGCGACAAGGAAACGAAAATCATACACATGAGAGACATATACTCCACTGTAATAGACATCCACACCTTGAGGATCAAGGAACAAAAGCAGTTGAGTGGTGCCTTTGCTGGTTTATTAGGGGAAGGAGAACTCAGGCACAGTGGGAGCTTGTGTGCATCCCGGCTGGCCGCTAACACAATTGCACCTTTCTCTGGCTTCAAAAGTAATTTTAGAATGGATAGTTCTGCTGAAGAAGATGAAATTACTCTAAATGAAGATAGGACCACTGCTAGCCTACTACCACCTCTGCTGACTGACCAATCTGGTTCAGTCTTGGGACTTTGCCCTCATTCCAGCAAGGCTTCAGATGACAAAAATACTAGTTCTATAAGGTGTGAAACAAAATCCATTGTATCATCTTCCATTAGTGCTTTCACACTGCCGGTAATTAAACTGAATAATTGTGTTATTGATGAGCCCAGTATAGACAACATAACTGAGGACTCTGAGATCACAAGGAGTCGGTCCAGAAATCTCTCGATGGACTCTTTGGCCATTCCATTAACTGATACTAATGAATCCTGCAAGCCGGCCATGCTACCACGACATAATTCATTTGTGGACACTCAACATGACCAGTTCAAGTCTTCTGTGATCCTCGGACCAAGCACAGGAAAGCTTTTATCCCCTGGTGCTGCCAGGAAACAGTTTGGTTCCAACACATCTTTGCATCTTCTGTCTTCACATTCAAAGTCCCTGGATTTGGACAGGGGTCCATCTACACTCACTGTCCAAGCTGAACAAAGGAAACATCCCAGCTGGCCCAGGCTGGATCGGAGCAACAGTAAAGGATATATGAAATTAGAAAACAAGGAAGACCCAATGGATAGGTTACTTGTGCCACAAGCAGTGATAAAAAAAGACTTTACCAATAAGGAAAAGCTTCTCATGATATCAAGATCTCATAATAATTTGAGTTTTGAACATGATGAGTTTTTGAGTAACAATTTAAAGCGGGGAACTTCAGAAACAAGGTTTTAATATTTAAATAGGAATCTACAAGATATCATACAGTATTTAAAAAACAAAACAAAACATTTTGACAAGTGTTTCCTTTTCGGTGAAAATTGTACAAGCCTGTTTTTAACCAAATGCTTAATAGCATATTAAAATTGGCTTGTGCAAACAGATCTTCATCTTTGTAAGGCCAAGTTTTTTGTCATAGTACCATACAGTTGCAATACTGTACATTATCAGTGCTCAGAGAGTTTTGGTACAACTGTTCCAAATTTTTTCCAACTCATTTTTCCTTCTGTTCTATATAGGCATGTTAGTTTCTACCAATTTGACTCCAAAAGCCTGCATTAGAATAAAAGCTCAATTTATTTATAAGTTCTTTTATTTAACAACTGCAAGACTCTAAAAATTGTATTCATGTTCTAGAATGGGAAGTGAGCCGCAGTTCATACTGGAATTGTTAAATTCAGGCCTTTATCCTGGGTGTTGTATTTCACATATGGTACATCTCAGTAACTATAATCTTGCCACTATCATTTGAGAAACTTGTTTACATATTGAAGTGGGTGGTTAAAGAAGAGTGAGTATAATTGAAAACATTTCTGTTAATTCATTGTTATTGATCAAGTTGAATACTAGTGTTGTGAATTATTTACTATACTTTGTACAACAATGTTTCTACATACATTATAATTTATATAAACCAGTAATTCCAGGAAAAAATATTAAAGAAATCTGAAAATCCTTCTGGGGTCAGCTCTCTAAAGCACTTTGATTGGCAACAGTTTTAAAATCAAACTATTTGGATTCATTTAAAATCATAGGAACATAATGATTACATGATTTTAGAAATGTGATATATAGTAAAATGATATTGTGACATTATTACGAAGAGAAAAATGGAAAGTGAATATATTGCCTCTCAATAGCAAGAAGATAAATAACTAGATCTCTATGGTCATAATAGCTGATACAAAGCATACAACTCAATATGTCTACTAACCCAGTACGAAAGCCCCTTGCCTGAATTTTGCTTTAGATTTCACATTGGCACGGTGGATCACTGAAAGCTTAGCTGGAGTAATTTGCATTACAAGATTTTGCAAAAGTTTGTGACTTTTGGAACAATGTTCTTCTCATCGCAACAAACTTCTCAGTTGGCAGTTGTAGGCTGGTTATAAATAAAGTGAGAATTTACCAGAAAGTTTTCATTCATTTCATTAAGGTATTTAGGCTTTAATCCTGCCATGACTGCCGTGGTAGAGAATGTCACTTCTGGTTGCAAGGCTCACCTAGCAGGATGCTGGTCTTAATTGGTCACTTCGGATATGTACACTTAACTTAAATGCTCAGGAATTATTTTAAAAGGCTTTTCCCAAAAAGAATCAAACCCGTAAAAACATTGTTGTACTTCAGTTGGTTATGAAAGATCAAAGATAAAAACATTCTTTTTTTTTTTAAATATTCAGCTCCGAGTTTCAACTGCGCAATGTTTATGTATCAGGAGCATTACTTGCTCAGTGAATTGAGGCATAGTGTTAACTATTAGAGCCTCAAGCCTATATATTGTAATAAAGTTGGCTAAATATTTTGCTATGAAGCTTTTAATAACTTTCTGGTTTGTGTTCTTAAGACATTTGCTATTTTTTGAAACAAAAATAAAATGTGTATCTATGTATCTTATCTATGTAAGACATTTTTTCCTCAATAATCTCAATTCTTCCATTTTGAAGTATAATTAGGTATCATAGTGCTGTAAATAATATTATGCTAAATACATTAGCCCTCCACTAGATATTTGACTATGACTGTCAGTGATACCTCTTCATGTGTAGAGGCTGAATTTACTGCTCTTCTGATATTTATTTTTTTAACATAGTATGAAATTTATTCAAAATGCTTTTGATAAAAGGAAATTTTGAATTACAAGAACATCCTGTCCTTTTTAGTTTCACAATAAGGAAGCTTAGACACTATTAGACACTACTATTAGACACTACTATTAGGCACAAATGACGTAAACTTTTATTTCATGAATAGTTAAATTAAGTCTTAGCTTAAAAGACTACTTGTTTTTGCTCCCTGTTGTACGTGAGAATTGTCCTTTTTGTAGGTATATCAGGTATTGGGCTTTTAATTATCACATTACACTATCTGGTACTGAAAAACTTACTTCAGAAAAAAATTACCTGCTTGGGAAACCAAGGTGAAGTCAGTGACTTAAATTAGCAAGAAATTAAATTAGCAAATACAAAGAAGTTGTGTGATTGACAAACTGATTACAGAAAGATTCCCAAATTACCCTAAAATTGAACATTTAATTCAAGTAATGACATGTAGAAGTTCCAGAAATGATCTCATCTACTAAATATTAAGTAACATGATAACTCTTCAAAGTAACAATAACCTTGTTTTGCTGGGTTTTCAGATTCCAGACTTTAAAGATGTTTGCCAAATCATTCATAAGGCATAAAGTCTAAGGTGCTGAGTCTAATGAGAGGTATAATGTTTTTGAAACATTTCCAGGACTCTATTTCTGCCCAGATACACTAACCACAAGGTTAGGCATCAGTCTGGAAATGAAGGGCATTGCATCTTTCCGTATTCCTTGAATGGTTCTGACTCAGTCTAGTCAGAAAAACTTGTAGACATTCAAGAGGTGTGGTCACTAGCCTTCATATGTAGAGGTCAGAAACATACACCGCTACAGGTGCAGCGGTCTGAACTCTCTGTTGCCCAAATTCGGATGGCAAGTAAGGACCCTGATGAAGACAGGAATGTGTCCTAAATCTTGTTATCTTTAGAGAATAAATATTATATTCACTCTTGCTGATTCAGTTCACAGACTTTTTTTATGGATGTTGCTCATTTCGGTTATTGATGCTCTATACAGCCCCCACAGTGACAGTACAACTGCAGGATGAAAACAAAGCCAAAGACAGGAAGTTTTAAACTAGCTTTCTTATCAGGGAAAATAAGTGTACAACTGCACAACAAGCCTTTACATGCAATAAGAAGCTAAGCCTTATATCTAGCACTCTGAAGATGTTATGGTACAGCATTTTGAAAGAATTAATCCAGGAGAAAATTGTTGATATTGTACAAGCAATGAGCTCAGCTCCTTCCTCTGCATAAGTCCATCTAAAAAAATGCACATTTTCTTTCTCATACATAAGCATCTTAATCAGTCCATGGCTTAGGGTGATATTATGATCTGTCCCTTCCTCCTGACAAAGCTCATTAGGCAAGACAACATTAAATAAAGAGTATGGCTGCAGTGATGGAGCAGAAAGGCTGAGTTGTGTTATCCCTTCCAGGATTGCTTCTGTTCTTCCCATGGAGTACTCAACTGGATAAAAATATTGAAGCAGGGCCTGTGCTCTAGCCACACTGATATTTTAACTGCTCCTCTGCAGAGCCCAGTTCACTCTCCCTGTGAGCCAGCAAACTCAGCTGTTACACACAGAGCTGAACAGAGTTCAGCAGCTGAGGCTATTAAGCACACAGCTGCAAATAATATGGTTTAATAAAGGGGAAGGTCTTGGCTTGAGGCTTCTCGGTAGTAAAAGGATTTTGGTATGGTGTTTCTTATCCTGACAGCGGATCTGATACTTATGCTGTGTAAATGATGGAAAGGTAAGCTGATGTTCACCAATCTGGTTCTGAAGGAAAATGGAAAGTAATGTTATAAAAACAATTTTGGAGTCTACTGGCTTTGGAGGTAGGTATTTACATCTGTCCCTAATCATATACTAGACAGCTACCTAATTTTGGTGTAACTGTATTAGAAAGACTTCTGCAGATGCTGATTTTAAAATATAGAAATATAAGTCCTTCAGTTTCTCCTGAGTGAAATTTGGGAAATAGTTTCATCTTGAAGTGATATAGCTTTTATGGTAGATTTTGAACTCCTGGATTGCTTTAGTCTTAAATTCTTACAGATATGCTTGTTCTTTCTAGGAGAGTTTCTATGGTCCTTTTTGGGGAATTCTGCCTTTTATCTTCCCAACACTGCCTTTTCTCTGTTTTTGATTTTCGTGCCAAATATAATAATATCATGAATAAGTAGAAATACTTAAGCAAGACTGTGTGCATGCATACATGAAAATGCAAATGGTATAAGTGGCCTATTATAATACAGGAGTGCTTCAATTAGTATGACTTAGCTACTCGTAGGCAAGTTCATGCTCTTTGTCAAACCGAACTGCAGAGAGAATTAGTTGCAGTTATCAGAGATATCACATGTTAAAACAACATGCCTAGAATAATCTTGTAGGTATTGATATTTATTTCTGGGGATTTTCTATTTTTAAATTCACCACACTAGTTGCTCAGTTATCCTGTGATTCACTGTAGAACAGGTTTAACACAGATCTTTCTGTTCTCAGAATAGGTTTATGCTATGTAGGAAATATTTGTTTTAATCTCTGAGTACGCGTTTTTTTCCACTGTTATTATTAAATTTCAGCTCATTAAGACAACTCAGTGTTCCTTCTCATCACTCTCTTATTAACAGTGCATCCCTGCTTAGGCTATGTTAGCAGTCAGTGCAGCCTAACAGGAGCAGATCTGCAGCTAGAGATGGGGTCCCATTATCCACAGCATATGCATTTCAGAGGGTTTTCTTCAAACTAGTTCCCACCTGGTCCTGTTAGACTGAATGTCCACTGTCCACTGAAACATGTCTCATGCTCCTGGAGCACATCTTGTTTTTCTCTCGCAGGAGCCAAATCAATGCTATGAGGTTGTTCTTTGATGCACTGCCACATCCTCTGAGGCACTCAAGGCCAGGTTGGATGGGTCCCTGGGCAGCCTGATCTGGTGGGCCAGACCTTCCCACGGGAGGGGGATGGAACTGGATAGGCTTTAAAGTCCGTTCCAACCCAAGCCAGACTGAAATTCTGTGATTGCATGAAATGAAGTATGGTACACATGCCATATGGTATGATTAACTGCATGATGGATCCTTGAAAAACTCCATTAATTTCCTCACTGAAGCCTCATGATAGCTACCCCTACCAGCCCGTCTTGCCACTTCTGAATTTGACAGTGAATACTCAGCTCATTTTTCTTCTCCTAATTCTCTTAATTTTCAGTATAGCTAATAATTTCCAGTGTATTTCCAATGCACTATGTATCAAACCTTTTAGAAGACAGATAAGATATATTACATATTTTACCTAGGAAATTGTTATTATTTCAAAAAATATTGATTTAGTGTGATATGATCTATCTTTGACACATCTCAGCATTTGATCTTATTTCCCATTCTCATTTTCAGTTTAGGTCTTTGTCTTAAGCCTACCATCCTATCTGGATCAGGCTTGTATGTGTCTAGATAGCTCCTGTCCTTCTTTCTGCATTCTGTAAATGCAGTTTAAAAGATTACTAGTATTACTATTTTCATTACTTATTGGCTTCCATCTCTCTCAACTCACTTATTGAAATTCCGTGCGAAGATGTGTTTTCATTTGCCAGCTTTTTCAGGCAACTGTAACAGAGATTGTGCTTCCACAGAGTGAGAGCATTCAAGGCTTTAGCATTCTCACAGGTGAAGATTTATACATCTTCTGTTTTCACAGTTTTTTTTCTTCAACTTTTTCTATCTCCCATTTCCAGACTTTTTTTCCTACTATTCATCATACCTTTACGCCATTTCTGTAATAATGCACACAGCTGAAAAAAAGAGACAAAGTTATCACTTAGGTGTAGGCTATAACTGGAATGAGCATGTCTCTTTTTATGTTTTTATGCTTTTATTTTTCTTTTGCAGTTTCTTTCTTTTATTTAAAGATTAATTAATAAATTTTTTTTAAAAAAGTTAAAGGGCAGTTAGGTTTTCAAACTTTTTCAGAAGCTTCCTATAGTGAGGGTATAAGTTTGTATCTTTTGGTTTGGAAAAGGTCTCCTTTACCTCAAATCCCCAGCCTTCTTGTCTGGCTGATTTCAATAATTTATTTTCTTCTGAAGTTATCAAAATTTGTTCAGCTCAAGTCAGCACCTTACTTGGAATTTATCCTTGTTCCTTGAAGTTAATTGGATCAGCTCAGGCGTACTTGAGTGAGTGTGTAGGAGCATCTTGTCTATGATATACCCAGCACTTAACAAAAGCCAGTCAGTGCTTTCTGTGATGACTGTTTGTGATGACATCTGTTCACTCTTCTGTCTAGGTGTCTCTGTGCTTGGTTGTCATAGCCATCATTCGTTCACAGTCTTATTGCTTCTCGGAAATTAAGTTTTCTACAAGGCAAGGATAAAAATTCAAAGTGAAGGCAAAGCACTAATCAATGTACATCTGCTTTTAGTTCATTCATCACAGGGAAAAATATTCTCGTGCCTTCTTGCCTTTTGACTTTCTGAGGGCTTAAATATTTGTGAACTATATTCTTGATAATAGCCAAAACTGAGTATCTAGGATGAGAGTATAACTTTGTTATGCAATGGAAAATATTATTTTCAGTATTATTCTCCATACTTAATTGAGTCACTTTTTTTTGTCTGTTGCATTTTTCCAGTGGGATGTTGCCACTGCTGTGTCTTGTTTTTCTGTGTAAATGCAGTTAGTTTTGAAATGATCGCAGTACAGAACCACTTCACATAACTTTCCATGGTGCATATCATTGCATTTTTTGAACAATTCTAAATTTAATTATATCCTATTCTACCTTGAAGGAATATCATTCTAGTTTATTTTTATAATTGTCTAGTTGAAGCCACTAGTTTTTCAAAGGTCTCACAGGTTTCAAAATATGTGAAGAACAGCTATTATTAAACAGAGGTTGCAATATAATTAAATTCATCTTGCACTGTACAGAATTCATTATATTTTAACAGACAAAAAGTACTCTGATATTCATAGTGAACACATTGTATTATCTCCAGCAAACAAGTGTTCTTTATTATCTCTTTATGGGGACCAAGAAGGGCACTAGAATTATAACTAAATTAAATGACAGTACTCTTTGAATCTTATGCAGAAGAGTCAGGTGAATACAATAGATTAAGAGAGGTTACAAATTAATAAACTGAAAATTAGATTCTCATTAAACTATGCTTCCTACATTTGTAAGCTTTATATCTTGCACTGAAAAGAAGACCTCTTATTGTCAGAGAAAACACTTCTGGTCATTCTTCTAAATAATAAAGTATGTTTGTTTCTTTTCCTCTGACTTTTTGGATAAGTATTTTTCCCTATGAATGACATCAGTACCTGTTATCTAGACTGGCAGTTTCGCAAAGCTTTTGTGCCTTTCCTTCACGTTTTGATTTGCTCTGCATTTGCTTTGCATTTAATGCATCTGGGCTGCATTTAAAAGAGCGTGGCCAGCAGGTTGAAGGAGGTGATTCTCCCCCTCTACTCTGCCCTGGTGAGGCCTCATCTGGAGTACTGCGTCCAGTTCTTGCCTCCCCAGGACAAAAAAAGACAGAGATCTCTTGGAAAGAGTCCAGCGGAGGGCCACAAAGATGGTGAAGGGCCTGGAGCATCTCCCCTGTGAAGAAAGGCTGAGTGAACTGGGTCTGTTCAGCCTTGAGAAAAGAAGGCTGAGAGGAGACCTGATCCAGGTCTATAAATATCTAAGGTGTGGGGGGCAGAATGGTGAGGCCAGACTGTTTTCAGTGGTGAGTGGAGACAGGACAAGGGGAAACGGCTGGAAACTGCAGCATAGGAAGTTCTGCACAAACATGCGCAAGAACTTCTTTACAGTGAGGTGACGGAGCACTGGAACAGGCTGCCAGGGAGGTGGTGGAGTCTCCTTCTCTGGAGATGTTCAAGATCTGCCTGGATGCCTACCTGTGCGACCTGCTGTAGGGAACCTGCTTTGGCAGGGGGGTTGGACTCGATGATCTCTGGAGGTCCCTTCCAACCCCTACAATTCTGTGAAAAAGACTTATTATGTACTTAAAGATATGCCTTATTGATAAGTCATTTGTTCAGCTTCAGACTGATTTCTAGGTGTAGGTGATTGGGTGGCATGGGTGATTGCCAGCAACTGTGTCCCTGAGCCCTTTTGAAAGGTGAGACATCTTACTGATTTCCAGAACAGATTGAAAGGATTATTTCTGAATTAAATTCTTTCATTTGAATTATTGTGCTAAATCATATAGCACAAGATCTGCACACACATACATTTATCTCTGTCTACATACATGTTTAATTGAATATGAAAACTGACCTACTTCAGAGTATATTACCTCAGAGCAAGCTGGTTCTTTTGCTCAGCAGGGACTAGCAACATGGTACAAAGGGTAAGGAGAGCATGAGCCCAAAGTGCTGGGTTGCCTTAACTGATTCCTGCCTCAATGGAATTAGTTGCAGCACCATCATGAGGAAAGATCCAGAAAGAATAGGCAACTGTTAATGAGATTCAAGTGCCTTTTTATGGCTAGTTAAAATTCTGAAGTGTGCAGGCTAATATATTACAAGTCTGAGTCTTAGGGGATACAGTCTAAAACATTGTCAAATTCTCTGTTCCAAATAAGGCAATCTCCTTGTTATTTTTGGAGAACCTCAGAAGAGGAGGGGGAAAAAAAACTGAACAAACAAACAGTGAATTGAATCAGAAAGAGATGTTACTGGGAACAGACTTGGCACTTACATACATGCTTCTGCTGTTATCATAGTACTGGTTTAAAAAAAAAAAAATGGTTTCCTTAATACGTGGCATAAGCCATTACTAAGGTGGACAAATTTTTCGTTCTCCTTGGCAGAGAAATCTCCTTCATTTGAATTCCTGGAACAGAAGCTTGTGTGCCCTTGAAACCAGTTGATGCAATTAGACTGTGACATTTGTTTTCCCCCTTTTTTGAGGCAGGTATCTTGGAAGATCAGGGAGTGAAAATCCTTGCAGAGTTAATGGTTATAACAGAAACAGTAAATTCTATGGAACTGCAGTCCCTTTCTTGTTTCTTTTCTTCCCTGACACTGGGAAGAGTGTAAAAGTAAAGAAAGTCTGAGTCTTTTTGTATCTGATGATGCCAGAATTTTGGCTTTGACAGCTTCTAAGGTGCTTTTATGCACCTATATTATTACAGAACAATGATTTGTGGCACTAAGATTGGAGTTAGTTTAAGAAACAGTAGCATGAGCTTCAGAGATAGTCTATGCTTTCAACAGTGATCTGCAGATGAAAAGTGTTAGTTAAGGAGGATGCACAGGTTTCAGTGGAAGCAAAGTAGATGGATGGCTTGCCAAACTCGTGACATAAAATACAGTGGTCTGTTCCATGACTAAAATCTTGGTTCAGAAAAAGAAAGACAGAGCTGTTTACCAAACAAATAACGTGTCACAGTTAACCTTATTTTCAAGGATATTATTCGTATTTGCTTTTGAAAACAGTGACAGTTAAAAATACTTTCACAGTACTACAGTACTGTGCACTACTGCAGGCACACATACACAGATCATGTCCAGATAACATTAACGTTTGGTTTTAAATAAGTGTCTACAGAAGACTATATACCTTTCATACAATTTGAATGTCTTCATGATAATCTATCTTAAAAGTGTTTTTATTTAATAAAATACAGATTCAGCACAAGCAAGCACATGTAATGAGAGACAAAAGGATTGGTATCATTTAAAACCAGAGCACAGGAAGATTTGAAGAGGACACTGAGTGAAATTCAGTCTAGTAAAGTTGATACATTCTCAGCAGATATTTAAGATCCTCCAGGTTGAATGCTATGAGAAGAGTGAAGGATCATTTCTAAGCTTCCAAAAACCTCAGCTCAGACCTTCAGACCTGATCTGCAAAATGATTACTTGAATGTCCTCCAAAACAACACAGGACCCTCTGCTGAAATTCTTTTATTATTTATAGATGGGAAACAGTATCTGCTAGTATCAAAACGTAAATCAGTATATAACCATACAGACTTGGAGGACAAACGAGATGAGTATTTTGTCTTTCCTCTTAATGTAGTCTTTTTTTCTTAGTATTCCTAGAACACGGAAGCAAATTATGTCATAATGGAATATAAAATAGCTTTCAAAACCAGCTGCTCTGTGGTGCAGTTCCATCACAGAACCCATAGAATGAAAATGGTTTTTAAAGACTCTCACCCCTTGTCAAAGCCACAATTTCAAGTGAACTCTGAATATATTGAATGGAAAGATGTGACACCAACTGATGGAAAAACAACTTTAAAATGATAGCTGGTGTCAATTTCAGTTGGTAGAATGTCAGTTTCTTGACTACTAATAACTTGGGAAGAGCTGGGCAATATAAGAAAGGGCCATCAAGACTAGAGGATCCAGAACATGAAATTATCATTGTTTCCACTGAAGTTTGGGACCAGCGTAGTCCAATTTACAATAATTTCCTTTAGATTTGTTTGTTTATTTATTTATTTTTGTTACTCAAGTCTATGACTTGACATTCTCAAGCTCAAAATGCAGCATTTGCCTTTTGCAGTACAAAGGAGCCATCTGTTTTTTCTCCTACACAAATATACAAAGAAGACATACAACTTCTGTATCGTTATCTAAAAGGAAAACATTTGCTTTCTCCAAGTGACATAAATAACATATTGACAAATATGTGAACATCTTCACCATATATGTAGTTGGATATCGCAGAAAATTATTTTAATACAGTAACAAAAATACAATTTTCTGTTAGTAGGAATTAAGGTTCATACTGCCTTTTCTCTTAGCCCTGTTACTGTTCTGTGATTTCCTGTTACAGTGAAGGCTGTCTTTAACAGATAAGAAAATGAGAGGGAATCATTTTGCTCAGACTAAATTGTTTCTATTGCAGCCACTTGGTGTTGTAATTTTCTACCCTTTAATTAACTCTTTCTCCTAA